GGAGGAAGTGGGAGGGGAGCTGTTGCATCGTGGTAAACTCTGGTCAATGACATGACACAAAGTATATGTGAACTGCTGTATGGAAAGTGAATTTGCTCTGTAAATCTTCACCCAAATCACAATAAAAATAAAATAAAATAAATAAGTGGATGACATACTGACTGCAGCAACGGACTCAAGCATAGCAATGGCTGAGAGGATGGCACAGGACTAGGCAGTGTTTCATTCTGTTGTATGTAGGGTCACTAAGAGTCACACCTACTTGATGGTATCTAACAACAACCCTCAACAGCCTTCCAAATCTTGCAACAGTCTCTCTTGTGGCCCCATCCTAACAGGAACCATAAAACAAAGGGCCAAGGAGTTCAGCCTTGCCAAGCTGACACGTTAGAAAGCTATCAAAGAACTCTTTGCCTAACCCTAGATCATGAAGACTTTTTCCTATGTTTTCTTCTAAATGTTTTATTGTTCTAGATTTAATTTAGGTCAATGATCCATTTTGAGTTAATTTTTTTTGTTTGTGTATGTTCTGAGGTAAGGGCCTGTTCTGGTTACCTAGTGCCACTCTGACAAGAAATATACCACAAATGAGATGGCCTTAACAAACAGGAGCTTATTCTTACAATTTGGAGGCTTTAAGTCCAAGTTCAAAGTGCCAGGCTCTAGGGATTGGGTGAAAGTCCCTCAACCTTGGGGTCCAGCTCTGCCTCCTGCTCCCAGCTCACTGGAGCTAGAGGTGTTTCTTCACTCAGCTGCTGGCTGCTGAGGCTAAGAAGACCCAAGGTTGACAAGTAAAAAGGCACAGTCCCGATGTTACCAAACCACATGGCAGACCATTAACTCAAGTCCATTATAAGTCCCAAGGTCGGCATGGCAGGCTGCTGAATAATGACATGGCTACATGCAGGGTCCAAGTGTGCCATAAGCTAGACCATTCCCAAGGATTCTCCTTATATACATGAAGCAGACCACATCCCAAAGGCAGCTACTCAGCTGCTTGTGGTAGATACCACCATGGAGTTGATTGCCAGTCTCATCATGGGGAATCACTACCACCAGCTGCCCAGACTCAACCAGGCCCCACCAAGTTGACACACAACATAACCACCACAGGGCCTAACATCATCTTTCTGCATGAGAGCATTCAATTATCTAGACTACCACTTCCCTCATTCAATCACCTTAGCTACTTTGTTGAAATCAAATGACCATAAATTTAAGCTCTGAATTTCATTCATATGTGTGTGTGTGTGTGTGTGCAGCTCTGATAGTGTAGTGCCTAAGGCACTTGACTGCTAACTAGAAGGTGTGATTTCATGATTCCAACCCACCAGCCACTCCTCAGAAGGAAGGCTGGGCAATCTACTTCCGTCGTGATACTACCTCGAAAACCCAAGGAGGGGTAGCTATGAGTTGAGTCAGACTCGATGGCTATAACAACAACATATATATATGTCTGTCTTTATGCCAGCATCACACTGTCTTGACTACTTTAGTTCAATGGTAAGTTTTGAAATCAGGAAGTGTAAGTTCTCTATTTTTGTACTTCTTTTTCAAAATTATTTTGGATGTTCTGGGTCCTTTGCATTTCCATATAAATTTTAGGATTATTTTGTCAATTTCTGCAAAAGAGCCTGCTGGAATTTTGATAGGGATTGCAGTCAATCTAAAAATCAATCTATGAAGAGATACCATCTTCATAATAATGTTCAACCCATAATAATGGAACATCTCTCCATTTAGTTAGATTTTCTTTAATTTCTCTCAGCAAAAAAATAAATTTTTACTATGTTTCATATTTACCTATATAATTAAATTTACTGGTGCTCTATTGATTTGAATTATTCTCTGGTAGCATTTTCTTATAATTTAAAGAATGTCTTAACTATTTCTTGTAAGGCAGATGTATTCACAACAAACTCATTTCTTTGTTTATCTGGGAATGTCTTTATTTATGAGGATGAATCCTCATTTTTTTCCCCTCCCCTTCCACCCCTGGTAACCAACAAAGAAAATTGCCTTCTGTATATAAACCTTTCCTTGACTTTTTATAATAGTGCATGTTTTGGTTACCTAGTGATGTTCTAACAGAAATATACCCCAAATGGGATGGGTTAAACAAACAGGAGTTTATTCTTTTATAGTTTTGGAGGCTAGAAGTCCAAGTTCCTTGACCTTGGGCTTTAGCTCTGCCTCCTGCTTCTAGCCCACTGAAGCTGGAGGCTCTCTTTTCACTCAGGCAGCTGCTGGCTGCTGAGGCCGACAAACCCAAGGTCGACAAGTAAAACAGCACAGTCCTCTGATTACCAGCCAACACAGCAGGCCATTGATTCAAGTCCAGAGACAGTACCAAGATTGGCAGGAAACATGGCAGGCTGCTAAATGAAGACTCACTACATGCAGGGTCCAAACGTGCCATAAAGCTAGAGACCGTCCTCAAAGTTGCTTCCTATATACTGGAACCAGACCACAACTCTAAGGCAGCTACTCAGCTGCTCCAGGAGATTCCACCATAGAGTTGTTACCAATCTCACCATGGGGAGTAACTATATGCAGCTGTCCTGCTACTCAAAACCAGGCCCAGCCAAGTTGACACATAACCTTAACTACTACAGTCACTAATATACTTGTCCTTCTGTGATTGACTTACTTCACTCAGCATAATGTCCTCCAAGTTCATCCACATTATGAGGTGTTTCACAGATTCTACATTGTTTTCTACTGTTGCACAGTATTCCATTGTGTGTATATACCATAGTTTGGTTATCCATTTCTCCATTGATGGGCACTCAGGTTGTTTCCATCTCTTTGCTATTATGAATAGTGCTGCAATGAACATGGGTGTGCATGTATCTATTCGTGTCTTGGCTCTCACTTCTTTAGGATAAATACCTAGTAATGGGATTGCTGAATCAAATGGTATTTCTATTTCCAGATTTTTAAGGAATCGCCATATCATTTTCCACAGTGATTGTGTCATTTTACAGTCCCACCAGCAGTGTACGAGAACCCTAATCTCTCCACATTCTCACCAGCATTTGTTACTTGTTATTTTTGTTGAACTTTGCTATTATTACTGGGGTGAAATGGTATCTTATTATTGTTTTGATTTGTATCTTTGTAATGGCTAACTATGGATAACATTGAGAAGATGGGAATTCCAGAAAACTTAATTGTTCTCATGAGGAACCTGTACATAGACCAAGAGGCTGTTGTTCAAACAGAACAAGGGGATACTGCATGCTTTACAATCAGGAAGGGAATGTGTCAGGGTTGTAGCCTTTCACCATACTTGTTCAATCTGTGTGCTAAGCAAATAATCCAAGAAGCTGGACTATATGAAGAAAAATATGGCATCAGGATTGGAGGAAGACACATTAACAACCTGTGATAAGCAGACGACACAACCTTGCTTGCTGAAAGTGAAGATGACTTGAAACACTTACTGATGAAGATTAAAGACTACAGTCTGCAGTATGGATTACATCTCAACATAAAGAAAATGAAAATCCTCAAAACTGGACCAATATGCAGCATCACAATCAATGAAGAAATGATTGAAGTTGTCAAATATTTCAAAGTACTTGGTTCCATAATCAACATCAATGAAAGCAGCAGTCCAAAAATCAGATGTCAGATTGCACTAGGCAAATCTGTTGCAAAAGACCTCTTTAAAGTGCTAAAGAGCAAAGATGTCTCTTTGAAGACTAAGGTGCACCTAACCAAAGCCATGGTGTTTTCAATCACCTCATATGCATGTGAGAGCTGGACAATGAGTAAGGAAGACCGAAGAACAGTTGATGCTTTTGAGTTGTGGTGCTGGCAAAGAATACTGAAACCATGGACTGCCAGAAGAACTAACAAATCTGTCCTGAAAGAAGTGCTGCCTGAGTGCTCCTTGGAAGTGAGAATGGCTAGACTTCATCTCACCTACTTTGGTCATATTGTCAGAAGGGCCCATTCTCTGAAGAAGGATATCATGCTTGGTAAAGTGGAGAGTCAGCGAAAAGGCGAAGGCCCTCAACGCGATGGATTGACACAGTGGCTACAACAATGCGCTCAGGTATAGCAAGGATTGTGGTGCTGGCACAGGACCTGGCAGTGTCTCATTCTGTTGTCCGTAGGGTCTCTATGAGTCGGAGCTGACTTAATGGTACCTAACAACAACAACGTTATTGCTTTTATGGGAGAAAATTTGCTGAATTTCCATACAACCATTCTGGAAAGCTCCCAAAAGTGTTTGACTTTTGTCTGTTTGTTTGTGACCCTTTCAAAAAAATCAAGGTCAGCTTTCATTCAGGAAAGGGAGAAAGGAGAGGCAGGAATCTAATAAAGAAAATGGAAAGCACCAAACATAACCAAAGCCAAAGAAAACTTTTGGCTTATATTATATCTAATCCCAAACTTTTAACTGAAAGTAAGCTGAGGTCACAACTGAGTTCTTTTCTAAATTCTGGAAGCAGAAGTTCTAGATGACTGTGGAAAAAGTCATGTTTTCTTTAAATATAGTGTGTGTGTGTGTGTGTGTGGGTGTGGAGTTAAAGTTTTCTGATGATCTTTATCTTATAGCTGTCCACTAATTTAGGCTAAATTACTTAGGCTTAAGCACACATAAAGCACAATACAAAAGAAGAAATGCAATTTCACTGTTTTGTTTTCTTCTTCTTCTTCCAGCATCTAGAGGTACTCTATGGAAACCTTGGAAAGAAAGAGTTACAAAGCGACCTGCAACAGCTCATGCTTTAAGACCAGATCAGATGATTAGTGATGAATTTGCAACAAATACAAAGGTTTCAGAAATCCAAGATATGCTACAGGAACTTGTAAGCTCTTCAATGTTTAGCAAAATGGAAAACAATGCTATTAAATACATATCATCAACAATAATAAACCTTTCTAAAGCTTTGACTATGGTAAATGAAGAGCTAAAGATCAGCCTCCAAAATGCAAATATTCTCATAAAGGAGACAGATGATGCTGAAAAGGACCTCTCTCTGAATATCATAGAAGATCTTAGTGAAAAAAATGAAATGCTTCAGCAGCAACTTCAAACTGCAGAAGAAAAATGTGAACACCTTATTCGATCCAAAGATTTTCTAGAACAACAATTACAAGCGTTGACAGCATCATCCTTGAAAATGATGACTAAACTTTCTCCACAGTCATCTATGTCCATTATCAAAGTAGATGATATAGAGGACCATATTGACAGCATTTTGGCCAAGGAACTTGAAAATATGGTCGATGAGGCCCAAAGAAAAGGTGCCAGAAGCCCTGGGATCAAAAAGGACACAACTGTTTCACATGCAGTCCTAGATGAAATGACTGCTGATTTAAATGAACAGAAAGTTGCAACGGCCAAAACTAGTCACCACCCTGAGCCACAAGCACTGGGAAAGAAGGGAAGAGAAAGAAAATCCTCTTCTGAAGCTAAATCAAAATCAACTACTGAATCAAAAAAACAACATACTGCTCCTGCTTTACTCTCTCCTGAAATGAGACAAAGTGACAGAAGTGTAGCAAGTATTTTGTGGGAGGGACCCGAGATCAAATCCGAATATCCATCTGACAGAAGACAAATATCTTCAGAGATGATAGCGGAATCCACCATTGAGTCAAAAGACAAAGAAAGCAAACGTAAAATGGGAAGCCTAAGGGAGCCATCCAGGCATAAGCAATTTGAAAAAATGAAAGAAATTCAGAAACACCATGTCTCTCCAGAAGCTACCAAAAGAAAAGAAGCAAAAACTGAGAAAGGAAAGTCAGCCTTCACCAAACATGTCAAGCCTCATGAACTTGCTAAATCAAGAACAGCTGAAGAGACTTCAGAATCTACCAGCATAATTGACAAAAGTGAACAGGGTAACCTAGAAGAATTTCAGAAAGCCATTATGGCTTTCCTAAAGGAGAAAATTGATAATGTAGGAAAACCTTTTGATAAAAAGTTTGTGCTGTCAGAGGAGTTATTATTAAAAAGAGCAGAAGCCAAAAAGTTAGGAATCATAAAGGCAAAATTGGAAGAATATTTCCAAAAGGTGGCTGAAATCACTACCAAAATCCTGAGAAAATACAGAGATAAAAAAATGGCAGGACAAGTTGGAGAGAAACCTAAGCAATCAAAAAAGGTAGCCGTACTTACACTGGGATCACAGACGCAAAAGCCATCAACTAGTGCAAAGACTGAAATTACCACCTTCCTCTTACATGAGAATCTGGACCCCATAATTAGCAACTTAATACAAATGATCTTGACTGAAGTAGAGAGTGAGAGAGATGTTCTAGAAGTCTCAACATTAAGGAGAGACCACAAGGAGAAGGAAGAACAAAGGCAGGGGGAATATTTGCAAGGGAGTCGAAAAATTTCTGGCCATCAGTTGCTAGGAGAAAAGAATCTTTGGAAGGGGAGTCAAGAGATCGTGAAAAACAATTTGGAGAAGGAAAGGACATGGCTCCAGATGAAGGAGGAAAAACAATTGCAACAGAAGCCGTGGCAGGAAAAAGAACTGTGGAAGGAACAGCAAAAACAGTGGCTTGAGCAAGAAGAGAAGCAAAAGCAAAGCAAAGAGGAGGATGAAGAGCAGCAGCGGCGGGAAGCAGGGGAGCCCAAGATGAAAGGGGCACTCTTAGAGGAGGTGAAATGGATGAGGCAGCTTCAGGAGGAAGTGAGACAGCTGGAGTTGACAAGAAGATGGGAGAAAGAGGAGGAGAAGCAAAAGTTAGGGAGAAAGGTGGAGGACCATGAAAGGAAGAAGCAGAAAATAGCAACGAATCAAGTGATGATTAAGGAGAAAAAACCTGAAGACCTAGAAAAAATAATATCAAAAACTTTGGTGCTATCATCTGATAGTATCCATCCTCCCAGCCAGAAGAGCATGTTGAAAGATGCATCCCAGTTATACCCAAGAAAAGAGATTCATAGAAATCTTAAGTCATTCGAGGCTCTTCATGGAGAGCTCCCTATATCAATCACACCTCCCACAAAATCGATCACTCTCACCCCTGAGGAGGCTCAGGCACTGGGGGTCACCCTCACCCCTGAGGAGGCCCAGGCACTGGGGGTCACCCTCCCCCCTCAGCAGACCCAGGCACAGGTGATCACCCTCACCCCTCAGCAGGCCCAGACACTGGGGGTCACCCTCACCCCTCAGCAGGCCCAGGCACTGGGGATCACCCTCACCCCTGAGGAGGCCCAGGCACAGGGGGTCACCCTCACCCCTGAGGAGGCCCAGGCACTAGGGATCACCCTCCCCCCTCAGCAGG